ACTTGAGCATGGGGCATGAGTCCTGATGGCTGCTGAAGAGCCCATAGAGATCGCCTCCAAGAGCCGCCTCCAAGAGGAAGTAAACGAACTGGTGGTCCTGACACCATCTGACTCTCAGCTTGCCCCACACTGATCTCCCTTTATCCCCCTTTGGTGTTTTTCTGACGCCATGCTCCCGCATCGTCTTGTGGAGCCGCACAATGAAATTGCTGTCGAGCATGTTCAGGAGGTCCCGTTCCCAGCACAAAGACTGGCTGGTTCCGGTTCTCAAAGCATGACCCTTCCTTGGCAGGTTCTTCATGAGAAGGAGCTGGTCACTTGCTCAGTGCGGACATCAAAAAGCGCGCAACAAGCGTGCAAAAAAGCAGAAAGGCAGGCTGCGACACCCGCTTCAGCGCATAGCGCTCTTGCGATGGCTCGTCCTCCACCAAGAAAACAGTACCAAAGGCACCCTGGCCCAAGCCTGCAGGCGTCAAGTAGACTGACGCTGACGGACGCTTTAGGACGCTTTAGGACGCCAAGGACAGGATGAGCCGAAGTGCGGCAAACTTCTTTGACGGAGTGAAGGCTGCAGCTGCATTCCAGTTTCTGACGGCTGCGACAGGTTTTGATCTTCTCCCATTCACCTGGAAGGGGACTGGGAGCAAAGCGGAGAGGAATGGCAGAACTCAAAGTTGCGGCCAGGCAACATACATCTGTGTTCACGTCTGGGAGCATGGATGCATCGCTTGTAGACAAGCCTGAAAATCTTCAAGACCAGGCCGGCAGCCATCAAGTCAAACCAAGTCAAGCAGCTTGTGAAGATGTCGCAGATGAGCTCGCCATCAAAGGTCAGGCAGGTCAAACCCTCCGGCCCTGCATCCACGCTGACCTGAAGTTCATACTTCTAGCTATCCTCCATGACAACTTCATGATCGGCCTTTGTTCTTCCAGCTCACGCGAAGCTGGGTGATCGTCAAAACTAACTGTCCTGTTTAACCCCTAGACTGGGATGCATATCACCGCTGTGCGAAGGTAAGCTCCATCAATCATGATCTTGACAGTTAAGCTTGGGCTGGTGGGCGAATCAATTTCCGGCCTTGTCAGTGCTTCCATCACTGCACATCATGAAAGCGCGGAGCTTGCCAAGCTTCCGTTCGCCACTACAGAAAACCCTCCGTGCGCTCCCAAGGCTTCAAAGAACTTCAGAGATCTCAACAGGGGAAGCGGCATGCAAGGCTCGGAAGGCTCAGAGGTTCCTGCCTCAGAGATGCATTGGCCGGTGACTTTGGCCCGGAGAAGCGACCGCTCCCCGAAGGTGTTGCCTGCAGCTGAAATTTGGCTACTAATCAAAACCCCGTGCC